GGAAACCTGATCAATGCATTTCAGCATGTTGACCCGGATGAAGGGCACAGGCCAAAATGCTGTTCTTTATACAAGTGACGCTGGAGACGTGACTTCTTTAGGCATTTGTTTTTCTCTATGCACCTTGGAATTAGGTGAAGTTAAGCTAGAAGCTTCCATTCTGTTCACAAGCCAAAATGGTGAATGTGTAAGTTAACAGAGTTTTCACTGTTACAGCTATATCGTTAAGATGTTGTTTTGACCTTGTCCTTTCAATTTGGACTGTAAATTAATTCTCATACAGCAATAAAATTCCTATAAAACTGTTTGCAGCCAACAGGGGAAAAAAATCAAGTTCCATCTAAGAATCTAGATTTATAATTGCAGCTCATCACGGAAACACAAAGGCATCAGACACTAAAACTTTAGACCCGCCTACTCTCCCGAGGGGTCTCCCACGAGAGTTGATGTGATTTTTCAGAGAATTAATTGGTCAGTAGGTGGTGATTTCATACCTGTAGATCTCTCATCGTGAAATTAACCTTCTCCGGAACAGGTTAGGTTCGGAGCATAAGTTACCATGGCAATATACCATGGTCAGTAAGAAGTGAACCACCACCTTTGTAGTTCAGCAAACCCAGGGTTAACCCTGAAGTTACCTGGTTAAGCTGAAATCTTAACCTTCCCAGTGCATACTTCTGGATCCGGTCTATAATTGTAATAAAAACACATTCGGCACATCCACTGAATAAACCAACTACTACTACTGTGAGTATCATCACATTTTGTAGAGTCACAATTGAGAATTATTAGATTAGCTTCAATAACATCAGTGTTAGTCATTCATTGTTTTATGGCTGCTACTTGGTCTCCTATCTGCAATTTTAATTAGGTGGAATTGTCAAACAAATATTATTTGTTGCCATTTTTCAAATTCCACTGGACTTTTAATAAGCAAAAGGCAAATTATTATTATATTATTATTATAGTTGAAAAAACTGCAGCCGACTGTCTGCCTGTTCTGCAAAGCCATGTTTTGAACCGGTCACAATAATACACATGCATTCAGTGACTCCTAAAAGCTGTGCTCTTTTCTAAACAGCAACTTGGTGAATGCCTGCGTGTGACCTCTGTAAACTGTAGCTACAAAAACATAGGTTACACTAGAAAATAATGATAATTAAAATCCAGAATGTGGAATCTTAAATGTGATGCTGTATGTTTTCTGTGGTCCACTTACTGGATTCCCAGCTTCTTGCGGTGACTGAGAGCAAAGCCATCATTAGTGAGCGCGCTCAGCACAATGGCGGGGTACACCACGTATTTCTCAAAGCACAGCAGTCCCACGTACAGGCGCTCAAACCACATAAGCACCGCGTCCTCTGCAACACATGACAAAATTGAAAAACCCATGAACGGAGCAGAAATCACAAGATTCCAGAGCACAGTTAGCGGGGACACATTTTAAGTTTAGAGTCTGACCCGCTGGTGGCGCTACAGCAAAATCCACCCACCCCGACTCATTTCACAAAAACATAACGGCAAAGCAATACAGCAGTTATGTAGATGTTTCAGTGTGGGCTAACCAACAGACACAGCCATACTTTAGGTTTCACCACCATCGTGAAAAATCAGCGTGACTGTGTATAAGCAGGCAGGGTGTAGCAGTGCAGACCATTTCATTTATTCCCTCCATAAATTCAATTCAATTAATTCATATAGTGCCAAATCATAACAACAGTTGCCTCAAGGAGCCATCATTTAAAACCCATGTATAGCAAACGATATGACATAGTACTGGATCTGTTATTTCTCTTGTAAACACAAACTGCTGACTGAAAATAAAGAATAAAAAACACGAAACAATACCAAAAAGCTACCTTTGTCTGCTTTCTTATTCAGCAGAGGTCATCACAGCGAGTAGCTCCATGTTTGATATGGCAGTTTTTTTACACCCGTCTCAAAAATATTCTAAAAAGTGTCATCTGCTTTTGATTTTTAAACAAAGTTTCCTTTTTTTCCTTTCCTTTTGGCCTGCTCAAGCCATGCCTGGACTTGCACCACCTTACTTATCTGAGCTAATTGTGTATAGACCAGCAGGCCCTCTTCACTCTCCCAATGCTGATATACTTCCCTAAAGTGCTCTTATCTCCAGAGTGGCTTCCCATTACATGATTCTTTTTGAAGAGACTGAAAACCTGCCTTTATTTAATTCATTACAAGCCTTTACTCTTGGGCCCATCAGATTTCCACTTAGCTGATGTTTTTTAATGTGGTTGTGATATTATTTTAGTGGTATATTTATCCCATGTACTTGCATTAATTAGGTAGCGGGACCATGCTGCACACAGTGATTGTGCACTTTTATAACCGAGTGACTGATTGCTGTTACGCTAACTGTATGGTTTTGCTATTTGCATGCACATACTTTATTATTAACTACATGCAGTAGGGACACTGACCTCTGGGTTCAAACTGGTAGTACTCCTTGGTCTTGAGGACTGGGTGGGAGATCCACAACCAAGGGTGATGCTTCCTGAGCTGGGGGATCAGGTAGTGGGTTACAAACCCCACAGTCCCCGCCAGAGCATACAGCACTATGGTCACAAAGGGCTGCACACATGGGTATATAATAAAAGAGACATAAGATGAAATTATTGTGCCAGAAGTAAAGATCAAATGTAGAAGGCAGTGTAAAAAGCAGAAAACAAGTTGAGCCACCTTGAGAGACAGAAACACGGTACTCGCGGTGATGGCGAAGGTTAGGATGTAGGCAACGGAGCACACAATGATGTCCGACAGCAGAATTTCTTTCTGCAGAGCACAAAAGTGAGGGACAGCTGCAGTCATTCATAATCCACATGAAAACGCATATCCAGCTCATTTAGGTGTGCGATTATTCCTGACTATCTGCGCTGAGCCGCCAGTTTTTGGAGATCAAAGGCACAGGAGCGCGGGAAGAGTTAAGTTTTGGAATCTCCATTAATGCTGTAAAAGGCGACGGGAGGTTTGCGTTCTCTGATGCATAATTCCCTTTAATCACACATAGTGATTGCCAGCAAACACTGATTCATCATCTCACCTTTATGCAGTTTATGCCTGCTCACGCTGTATAAATTCAGAGATGCACGGAGATAATGAGGATTGATTTTCTGATAATTATTATCCCAGATTAACCTGAGCTAACAGGGACAGGCCTGTAATCCTGGGGCTGATAATAACCTGAACCTCACCATCTTCCACTAATATGAAGATAAATATTGTTACCATGGAATTCTGCAGTTTCTCAGGTAGAGGATCTTTGATGTTTGTATCATCCTCTTCCTCTTCGTCACTCTCCACAAGCGCAGGCATTATCTTTGACTTGATTAGAGATCTGAGAATAAGTATTTTACACGTTTAGATTAGTAACGACCGATGATAATAGGCAGCTAATAATAACAGAATTTATTTATGAAGCTTTTTAACAGCTTCAAATAAAACTTCTGAAGAATACAAATAAAGTGAGTCAGTGACAGTTTTTTAAATAGTATAAGTAGTATCAGCATGTTTCATCGGAGTTATCAACCATCTGCTTCCAGTTCCTTGTGTCAATGATTTCAGCTTTTTCAGCTTTTTTTAAATAAAGAACAAGAGGCTGCTCGCAAGCAAACACACACCCACGCACACACACGCACACACACATCGCGTGATACTTACAGAAGTACAGAAGGGTCACTGCTTTGTCGGCTGAGGTGATAGGAAAGCACCACTAAAAGGCCACAAAAACCAGAGAACAGGGCTGGGGTGTGCTGCTCATCCCATGGTTCCTATAAACACCAACAAACACACACACACACACAGCAATGTGAATTGTGAGTGTGTGTGACATGTGCTTGACTAGCAACACCTGTGTGTCACAGTCTTGGGTCATGCAACCCAGTGTTTTGAGTTTCACTGTATTTTGTTATTCATTTATGTTCTAGCTTAGCTTATCCAGTTATTTCTATTTTGCCTAGATTGCTGTTATAGTTCATTGTTTTGTAGATTCCCCTTGTGTTTTCACTCTGTGTTTTGGTCTCACTTACCATTCATATTGTCATGTCTGTGTCTGTGTCATCATTTTTCCTGTTTTATTTTGAAAGAGTCTGGTGTTATTTGTTCGTTGTATTTAGTTTCACCTCCCCTGTCCCGTCATCAGGTTCATGTGTGTCAGCTGTGTCCTCATGTGTCTCCACTTCTCATGATCACCTCGTGTGTGTATTTAAGTCCTCGTTCATTGTCGCTTCGTCTGTGTATCTAGTCAGCTTCTAGTTTATTTCTGCGTCTGTGCTTTCTGCTTTGTTTGCCACCTTTAATCCAGCAAAAATAAAGGCTCGCTTTTCGTTTCAAGTTCAGTGCTGTCTCCTCCACTGTGTTTGCACCTGGGTCCTCACACTTCCACACTCAGTCTGCCCTCCCTTGCAGACCGTGACACTTTGTTTAACTGAAGATTATTTTAAAAATTCCTGTACCTGTACTACATGCTTCCCTCTACTCCTTTAACCATTTAGGTGAACACAGCATTAGTTCAACAGGAAAGGAAAAAAGTACGAAAGAAGAAGATAAGTAATGTTACATCCTCTAAGTGCTCTTCCTCTGTTTCCTACCTTGAGAGCGCCGAAGCAGAAACCGTAAAGCAGAGACAGAGCAACCAGACTACGCAAGATGCTGTATACTGCAGAGATGAGACTGGTGGCAGCTGAGACACACAAGTTAGAAAGGTTAAAAATACATACAGTGGTTTAAAATGGCAACAAACTAACTCAGAAGATACTTTTTACTCGATGGCCCTGAAAATCTGTTCTGTCTTTGTATGTATGTTTATGAATAAACAACCAAAAGTTACAGTTTATAGTGAAAATAGGAACTAGGATCTGAATTAGCTAACACGAGCAATGCTAAAATCAAGAGATTAGAAACCTGTTCCTCCAAAAAAGTGCATGTCAATCTGCTCCAGCAGGTAGATGGTAAAGGTGTTGATCTGAGGGAAAAGGCCCACCAGGAAGGTGATTGGGAAGCAGTAGGTAAAACCTGTTTAATGCATAAAACAAAAGACATTTTTATGTATTTATCAAAGGAAAGAAATACTGTTAGCATACTGCAAGCAACTGCATCTGCATGTTTTCTCCTGCTGCATTTATCCCTACCCACTAGGAGGTCTCGTAAGAAGCGCAGAACATCATAGCAGACGATGGTGACTCCATAAAGGCTGGAGACCGGCAGATCCTTCCTCCTCAGCAGCTGCTCCAGCACCCAGATCAGAGCACAGAAAATGCAGAAGTAGGCCGCTCGGCTGTAGGCCACCAGTTGGTTGTGACCCTGGAGACATAGAGGGATGCCACCTGTAGGGGTTTACCCTGATTTCCATCACAGTGAGATAACACCTACACCTAAACACCTTCCTGTGTTTTCACAGTAATATGACACAACTACCATAGCGTCAAATAAGGCAGATCCTCTGTAGCCACTCTGCATGTTCACCAGTCAAAGCTCAGCAAAATTATTCACATGGAAAAAAGGAACTGTTTTGAAATTCATAACATCATATATCAAAAACTGCCACACTGAAGAGGAAGAGCAGTCACACGCACGCACAACAAGGATGCACGTGTTTCCAAATTATTAGTGATTATTATACAATCTTTTCAGTATTTTTTTCAGTAACAAAGAAACAAACTTACATGGGTTGGTGAAGCTGCATCTGGTTGAACACTCTGCAAAACAAACCCATAAAAGCCAGTTTGAAAACAGCAGCAATAATACCAACATCCATCCACCAATCCTTTCATCTACCCATTCATCCATTTTCTGCTGCTTATCTGCGTCATTGGGTTATCTGTGTAAGTATCCACTGTAAAAGCTACGATTTAGAACCTCGACTTCACTTCAGATCAATCCTTGACTGCTGTTGAACTGGAGATGGCTGTTCATGTCTTCATCTCCTCCTACTTAAATTATTGTAATTCACTATTTTCTTATCTGTCTAAAGCATTTACCAATTTCCTTCAATCTTTCCAAAATGCGGCTGCAAAGCTTTTAACTCACACGCACAAATTTTGATCATATCAGCCCATTGTTAAAGCACCTGCAGTGGCTTCCAGTCAGGCTTAGGTTTCAGTTACAAACCTTGGTTCTTACTTGTATGGCCTTGGGTGAAGCCCCCAACTATATCATCAAATTACTCCACCCCTATTCACAATGCTGGATCCTTAGGTCCTCGGATAGAGGTTTTCTTGTGATCCCACATACTAGTCTGAAAACTAAGGAGGATTATGCATTTCAAATCTTAGCACCAAAACTGTGGAATAGCTTAACACTCTCTCTTCATGTTAGGGTCATGTTTTTGTGTTCTCTGTTGTTTTATTTGGTTCATGTGTGCTCATTTTGACCTCACATTAGCTGTCTTTTTTACCGATAGTCTGAAAGGCACTTTATGACTGCTTTCTTGCCTCAATAAATACATTTTACTTTTACTTTACTTTTACCCCCAGATCTTCCTCTCACTAACCAACTCCTCTAGCTTTTCTGGGGGGACAGCAAGGAATTCCAAAGCTAGCTTGGAGATGTAATCTCTCCAGCGTGTCCTGTGTTTGCCCCGAAATCTCCTGCAGGGGGGACATGCCTGGAACATCTCACTTAGACTGTATCCATGTCAGATGCCTGAGCCACCTCAACTGGCTCCTTTTGATGTGGAGAAGTAGTGGCTCTACTCCTAGCCCCTTCCAAATAACCAAACTCCTTACCCTGTCTCTAAGGCTGAGCCCAGCCACTCTTTGGTGGAAGCACATTAATTCAGTCACCAAGCAGCAGAACACCAAAGCCTCTGCTTTTGACTACCACCTGACCAACAGGAGGGCTGGACCATAGGCCAGAATGAGCCACCTGGGTAAGCCCTGGCCACCAGACACTCACTGATGAGCTCCTCCAGCAGACCTGGTTCCTAGTATCCCCAATCCAGGAAAATTAACATAGCCCAGTGTTGTTTTTTTCTATAGAGATCCTATGAATCACAGTTAATCTGGCCCTTCACTCAGGGCCTGTTTGCCTTTGGAGATCCTATATAGCACATAACTCCAGGGATCACCAGGACATACAAATCTCTCCACCATAATGAGAGGGCGATTCATGGATGAGAAAATATGCAGCATAACATAGTGGGAGTTTAGTGTCTGAGGTAGGTCATCATTTCCTTGTTTCTGTATATATCATATTTCGTTATATTTGGCTAAATATTCTGTCTGGAGGCTGGAGGGTCTATAAAGCAGTGACTGACTAAATTAGCGTGCAGGCTTTGCTGCATTTCAGCAGAGAGGAAGTGAGTGGGAGCAAACAGGAACTGGCAAGTCTGAGGTCAGTTTTACTTTTTGTCTATATTTAGTGCCCATGGCTAATATTTTGACCTCACACTTTATTCCTTAAACACAGCACAAGTTGTACCTATTAATGTGGCAATTACATCGTGTTGGATTGTGTCCTCAGTTTGATATACAGCATCTTTATCCTGGACTGAAGACTTTTTTACCTTCAGTAATGAATAGTGGCAGCTGGCAATGACCAGACAGAACTGGAAGATCCAGAAGTCTTTGAAGCACCCATGGTTGAGAAGCACAAAACCCAGAAAGGAAACCAGGAAGGCCATGAAGACTGCAACTAGATTCTCCAGAACATCCTGGTTTCTATTATTAAAAAAAAGCAGCACACGCAAAAGGCAGAGACAGGTCACAGCAGAGCCTCTAATACCTTATTAGGAAGGAAGAGTGCAAAGAAAAGAAGTGACTCAAAGAGAGACCTGATGCTGAACAATGTTCTTCACCACACAGTGAAGGATACAGGAGATATAAATACTAACGTGACATACAAAAACTCATCTCTAAAATTTTGTATGTAAACTAGATTTTATTTGAACAGCTGGAAGATCTTACAGCAGGTTTTGTGTGTTACCTGTCCAAAAGGGCGAGCAGTGTGAGTCGGTCATATAAAATGTTGATCCACTTCCCAGGAAACAGTTTGAGTTTGTAATAAATTTTCCTGGCCGGCTTCTCCTGAGTGGACGTCTCTGATGAGTCATCCAAAGAATCCTCTTCCTGACACATACACACACACACACATGCACACGGACATAAGCAGCTTACACCGACTGGAATTTCAGTGCAATAATACAGAAAACAAAAACAGTCTGCTGTTTGAAACCTACATGATCCTGCATAATTCAAAATGCAGTCTTTTTATAACCAGATCTCTGAAAATGAGGTGCAGTACCGATTCATTCGCAAATCGTAATTTGATGTTTCAGCTTCAATAACTGATCCAGACAGCTTATGTCACTCTTGCTCGTCTGGGTCCAGATGCAATAAAGACTGATTCAGGATTGACCTTCTTGCTACTACAACAGCCTGACAGAGACAAGACATTAATTGGATTTAGCTAAGTTAAGTGGGCCATTCTAATGTGCATATAGAATATATATATTTTAAAATATATGCTGCCTAGCAACCTGTCCAGGGTGTAACCACTGCTCACTCTATTACAGCTGACAGGCTCCTCCTAAGTTGAGGATGGCACGAGCAATCCTACCTGAATAAACAGTTAAGAAAATGGATGGATGAATTGCTATTACTAGTAACCACACTGAGAAAAGTGTAACAACAGTAGAGACAAATAGCATATAAATATGGGACTGTTTATGTTTATGTACAACAAACTTAATTTAGATGTATGTATGATTAAGGGATCACGTCAACCATCCATTTTCTAAAAATGAGTGTACACATGAAGTGTAATGAAAAACTGGTGTGTTTGTTCAATTGTATATACACCCGTGGAGTAACAGGGGACTTCATAACTTTCATAATGGTTGCACATTTACATCTATTATGGGTTATCTATGCATGTAAATAACGTACGTGACAAAAAGGCATACAATTACATGCTGGAAAAAAGCTACTCATCCAACATTAAACTTTTGATGTAGTCCGTAAATACACGACACTTGACTTCATAAGTTAAAATGTCTAATGTGTTAATAAAAATCTGAATTTGGAGACATCAAAACTGGTTGCATATTCAATTCAATATCTGCTAAATTAGATGCTATTGTCATGTAATTACAATTATGCTTTTATATGTGCATAAATGTTACAAATGGGTCATTTTAGCCTGCTGGTAGGTGGTTGCTAAGCAACGTGATGACATCCCAATAGTTAACATAAATATGAAGGATTTAAGTTGTGACTGTGCGCTAACTGTGGCTGCTCGATTGCTATGGTATAGGACGAGTTTATAGAGAAACAGGCAGACAGATATGGTGTGTTATATTAAGAGTTACTGTAAATTAAGTACTTGGATACAAAAAAACCCTGATAAATTTATCAATGGATTCATTTCTTCACCTGGTTAAAGTACCTCAGGAGTTTTTTTTAAAGAAGGAAGCAGATGTGTTGTCAATCTCACATCATTTGGGTTCCTTATAAAACATTTACAAACCCCTTTTGTAACCTTGTTTATTCTCAGGCCTCTTGTTGACTCCCTTTACAACATTTCTTGAGATTATTTTCATATCAGATTTATTATAAATTTGATGTTACTGGGTTGCAGAGCAAAAATATATATATGTATATACAAAAAGGAGACAGACACCTGGAAGATCTCGGGGTGCGTTCTTCGTGGCCGAAGCCTGTGTGCAGGGATGATGCGTCGCTGGAAAGGGCAGTCACTGTGACCGCCCGCAAGGCCGTCCTGACACTCTGAGTTGGAGGAAGTCGACAGCAGGTCACTGAAGACACACACAGTGGAAGTTGATGTGAGTATGTGGAATATACTTGATTATACAGGCAGAGATTACGGTTTAGCAGAGGATGGAAACAGGCATTGACATAAGATGATGTTTAGAAAAGCTCATGGGAGCAGTTACAGACAGCATGCAGGTAGAGAAAGAAGGGAAAAAACAACAGAAAAATAAAAATTATTTATAACAGACAACTTGTTGCAGGCAGATGAAGAGGGGGACGGGTGGAGGGTGGAATGAAGATATAACAACAGTACCACATGTTGCCGGTAATGAGCTCTGCTCCTAGCGGCAGATTGAGAGCTCTCTCTGCATACAGCTTACGAGGCCTGTCTCCTGGTGACACAAACAGACACATTGAACTAGTCAGACACGCTCTATTTTGATAATAATAGCTTGGATTTGTTTAGCATTGCAGCCATCTGAGACTGAAGGGCTGAAAATCTTGGAGCCATTCCAGGAAATTGTCATATAATCTACAAGCTGCTATCATTGTGTGTGTGGGAAGCTGCTGGCAATGCTTCCCACACACACAATGTATTTGCACAGAAGATCATAATATTATTAGACCCCCCCAGATACTGACTGAGGATATTAACAGCACATGGTTGTTGATTGTGACTACAGGCAATTCAATTGTCTCCTGCATGAAACACATGAAATTTCTAAGAAGTAACAAAAAGATAAGGCAGTCTAAACGCTGGACAAGACTAGCTACTTACGGTGTACAGTATGAAAGGTGTAGGCCTCTTCTTTGTTGGTAGCCTCTGGTCTGCAGATGACCTGCAGCATGGAGCTCTCAGATTGAGACGTTTGCGAAGGAAGGGAATCGTAATCCGGATCCTTTTCTCTGTCTGTCTGTGGACTGCAGACAAGAAACAGAATCAGCCAGAGATCCTGGATGCTAATAGATTATATAAGTGCTGTAAACATGTGCTTATA